AGAGATCCACAGAGTCAAAGCCTCACTAAGGTCAAGAAGGATCAAGAGGGATGGGAAAATTACATGGAAATGTATTTTTAAATGAAATACCAAATACCTTAATTTTACATGGTATCAAAATAAATTACAAAATACTTTTACAAAGCAACATGACATTTTTTCGCAAACTGTCTATCAATGGGCTTATTGGATCAAACTCTTCACAATTAAACTAATAAAGAAGGTGTTCATAAACCTTGTTTCTTTTATTTTAGTGTACTTTTTTTCCCCCACAAATTTTATACAGAACGTCCTGTGTTGAAGATGATCTCTTTAGTCACTGTAAAAAACATGTAAAGCAGATAATGAGTTCAAACATAGTACTATATCTAATGGGTATTCAAAGAGTTCTGGCTAATCACTGAGGGAAGTTTCTTTATACCAAGTTCAGACTGCATGATTTTCAAAGTCGTCGTGTCACAGAACTGAAAATGAGTGCTTTTAACTTCTCCCTCAAGCTAGCCTGCAGGTGCCCATGCTAGCGAATGCTGCTCTCTGGCTGTAGGTGATTGTGGATATTATTTTAAAGCTGCGTTCACATTAGAGTTTGAGCATGCGATATTCTGTCGTGCTGCGCTTTGAAAAGGGGCGGGATTAAACAAGCTTATTAGACATTTTTAAAAGTGAGCAATTGCTTAATTTTTTTAAATTTCTGTACAGAGAGGTCATGTTTTGATCCTTGACTGTTCTCACGCAGTCAAGTAATGCGATTTTGCAGGTCAGAGTTCACCAAGCTTGAACTTTGCACCGCAGCAACCTGCGAAACTTGACGCATGACCCTGCGTTTTCGGTCTGACGCATTCGTGTGCGAATAAATAGAAGTCTATGAGTCTATGAGCATGTCAAATATCTCATGGGCATCAGCTCTCATCGGCGATTCTTTCAAATCACGTCTATGATATTTTATTCTGTGTAATTGTCACTCACGAGCACCGATTTGCCAGTGAATTCAGGCATTTGACAGCGATTTCTCAAAACCTGTCTCCGGGGCTAAAATCATGCAATCTGAACTGCATTAGCTGTACTTACTTACTTATGCCCTCCACCCCTTCCAGGGCATGGGCCGCCAAAGGTAGGTCTCCAGAGGTTCCTGTCCTGGGCCATTCTTTCTACCTGTCCCCAGGTGTAACCCATCCTTGTGATGTCTGCGTTGAGGTCGCGTCGCCAGGTGTTTCTTGGACGGCCTCTCTCCCGCTTCCCTTGGGGGTTCCATCTGAGAGCCTGTCTGGTGATGCTTGTTGGTGGTTTGCGTTGGGTATGCCCTATCCAACCCCATCTTCCCTTCCAGATTTCTGTTTCTATCAGAGGTTGACAGGTCCTTCTCCATAGGTCGGTATTACTGATCGTGTCAGGCCAGCGAATGTGCAGAATCTTTCTGAGACAGGTGTTGATGAATGTTTGGACCTTTTGGGTGGAAGCTTTGGTTATCCTCCAGGTCTCTGCCCTGCCCTGATTCTGAAATCAGCATTAGCTGTACTGCACCTAATTTATCGAAACTTGCCTTCTCTATATAAGTTTTAATTATTGATTTAGTTGTTTTCTTTTGTAGTTTCATAGTGATATGCAACCAAAGTTTAACCCCTTCCACAGCTCCCTGACGAGGTCGCACTGAGGTGCTATTTTTTTCCACATGTCAATGTTAATGAATAGATTACGTCAAAAAGGACAAGAGTATTCTTGCAAAACTCTACATCAGTTTAAAGCTACATCCCCTAAGCACCCATTGCAGCTAGTTGTTTTTTAATGGTAAGCTTATTTTGCAGAAAATGCTTATAAGATATGGTGTACATATCATGTAATAACACACACACGCATTCATTGCTGTACATCACAGTTTAGTTTGAAAGGTAAGAGTCCACAGAAAAACATCCCATCAAGCACATTTAGTCCACTGACATAATAGTGTTGTATTATGGATGGTTATTCATTTGTCACCATTTCTGCCGGAGACCTATTGTTTACACGGTTTTACCATGGTACTCAAATGTGAAAACGCTGTCTTTGGAGTATAATCGATGTCAAAGCTTGTTATCGATAATATGAGACCACAAACTAAATAAAAAAGTCCAAGTTATAGTTACTAAAAATCTAAAAAAAGCCGAGCGTTTTGTCCGTCTGCATGTCTCTCATTCATTTGCTATCAATCAGTCACAGAAGTTCAGTTTTTACTACCCCGAAGTTTGACTGAGAGAGAATTTAGCCAATGGCTGCATGATTTTCATGTTACTGGACACTTTTTGCTCTAACTGGCTGCAAAGAACTGTCAATCATCACTCGATGCACCTGCCCCCTGCACGGAGTGCCCACACAGCTGCTAACAACTCAAGCTAACGGCAGAGAGCGGCTCCTTTGCAAAAAGTAAACAAAGGAGAATATTTCTGAGGAGAGCTGATACTTGCACGACGTACATGAAGCCTTACTTTCAGTTTTTCTAACGGTGATTAACTTATTATACTGTCATTGCTTGTTATTTACATCTTAGGTTTTCTGTGTTTAGCCTGCTTGTGGTTAAAAGTGTGAATGTCTCCGCTAGCCATAATCTTTCAGTAATGTTTACCATTATTATGCAGCATGTTGGCCATTTATCTGAATGGCTGCTGTTACATCTGTAAGCTATGTGTATAAATTAGCATATGTTAAAGTGGGAATCAGAGTAAATTGTGTTTGCTACTCAAGGGGGAAACACAGTTGTTTACAATAGAATCCTAATTCTGTTTTTTTTTTTTTTTTGTCATGCAGCTGAATCTCTGCGCTGGAGTGATGGAGTGAAGAATCTTCTGCCAGTGACTGAGAGAACAACAACTCGTACAAGACTTTTTTGTTGCATATGCACTAGACTTATTTTATACAATGTACTACTTGTGCTCAAATAAATCATTCATGCTGTACGTTTCTGCTTATTATTTTACAATTTAAAAATTAGTGGTGTGTAAAAACCTTCAGTGCGTGTGGTCATCAGACTGCTTCTCCACAAACAAGGAGAGGGAAAAAAATCTCAAGACATTGTCTCATAAAAATAATTCCAAAAATTTCATTTTGTATCATATTGGCATCAAATTCAAAACAAATACTCAGGAGATGTGTGGCTTCTGACCTATTACTTTTCTGTGTTGATCCAGGACTGATTTCAAATATATATATATTTTTTAATGAAATTATAAAATGTTTAGTCCAGTGCATTTTTTTTTTTTTTACTTTACTTAAGCATCCATAACATATTTTCATTTAAAGCATTATAAACACTGGATGATGGATAATAAAGCCCAGAGTGTCTTCTTTCCAATGATACATAAACTGTGAATTTAGACCAAATCATTCAGCAACTGCAAATGTTTTAGCTTTGGGAAGATAGTTTTGGAGAAAGTGCCTCTGACGGTGAGGGAGAGAAGGACATCGACATAGCCTCAAAAAACTTTTTACAGAAATCTCTCGCATGCTATCATCATCAAATTTAAAATATAAACTCATGAAATACTTGGCTTTCAAGTCATAATTTTTCTAGGACATTACATTAATGTTTTCCTGTGTTTTTATATGAAAAACTAATATTAAACACTATACAATTTTTTTTTTACCTTATGACTTTATAATGTATAACTATTTATATTTTTTAACATGTAACTTCTCCTTTTACCACAGTAAAGCTCAAAGTGTCTTCTTTCCAATGATATATGATTTGTGTTTGTAGCTTACTGGAGTGAGGAACTGTTACTATTTAAAGTTAGGTAGGTGTAAATCCCCAAAATTGAGTGCTGGCTAACAGGTATTGTCAGTGCCTCATATACTTAAACAGTGAAAAATAAACATTTCTCAACAAACAAACCTTATTATAAACTATAAAATGTATTTCAAATATTGAAACCATGCTCTTGTTTTCAGCTTGTTACTGATTTGAAAATAGCTCGAGTTTTGCCGGCAAAATTCAAAAATGTCTTTAGACAAATGAAATGTCAATCAGCATCAGGAACTGCCAGCAACAAATAAACACCGGACAACCCTCTGGCTCTACCACTAGCTGTGAGCAAAAACTGACCCATTAGTGGAGATCCAGCAGAAGAATATTATAGTTCCCATTCCTGTTTATATTTAAGTAAATATATACTATGCTGCACTATCATTTTTACTATTATTAAGATATTCTAAAATCTGTGACCACTTATTAAGAAAAAAAAAAAACATAGAAAAGACTTTTATTTAGAGGTTGATTCTTTTCAAAATATTGCCAGTTTTCGAAAATATCGATACTTTAGGATTGATCCTCCCACCTCTACAACCAGCAGCCATTAGTAGCTACTAATGGTGAATCTCTGTCAAATGTGTTCCACACTGAATTTCTCATCAGTTCAGCTGCGTATTTCTGCTTCACATCCTTTCACAAATCCACTCTTGTGAGCTCATGTCACAGTAAAATTAGAATTACTAAAATTAAACATATAAATCAGTGCTGATTTTCCATAATGTCGTAACAGAAGAGCACCACAGCACACTGGACAATCAATTTTGCTTCTACAGATAATCAGATTTAACAGCTATTAATGTAAATATCAGCAAACAACAACAATAGTTTAGAAACCCACATGGTGTAGTTATGACACAACACAGATATTGTGCTGATGGGGACATTTAAAAAGATGAATATTGTGTTGTGGTGAAAGTCATGCTGTCAGTCACTGGATCATTAAAGGTGAAAGAACACGGAAAGTAAATAAAAACAGATGCAAATGTTTAGTTGGATTTTTCCTGTGAAGCCGTTATGAAAATATGAATTCTAAAACATGCAGACTCAACTCTCTACAACATTTAAATGAACACACTTCGCAAGAATACAGAATCACACAGAGGGGAATATGCAAAAACATACGGAAGCAAAATGAAAAAGGTCTTTGTTTAGATACTTGATGTGGCGTGCTGAATGACTGATGAGAGCAGATATAGAATAATCATAGTCCGAAACTGCAGACAGAAACATCAGACTGAAGACAGAAACACACCAGCTCTAAGGTAAGAACATCTCATATATTCATCTTACACATACTTCAAACAAGGTAATGCATGGTAACAATTATGAATCATGTTATAATACAAAAATATGTTTTTAATGTGTGTCTTCCTCAGAAATGGCTCAAACTCTATATTTCCCTCTTCTCCTCATTGGTGAGTGTGTTTGTAGTTTTATTTATGGTTTATAGTTTCATTAGGTTTGACTCTGTTCTGAAAAGCATTAAAGCGAAGTGTCTCTTTCACAGCTCTCTGCTCCATATCTGAATGTGTTCAGCGTCAGTATCACTTTATAAATGAGGAGAAGAACTGGACTGAAGCTCAGAGATACTGCAGAGAGAAATACACAGATCTGGCCACTGTTGACAACATGAACGACATGATCCAGCTGATGAAGAGTGTGAATAATGTACGTCTCTGGATTGGTCTTCAGAAGACGAGTGATGATAATTGGCATTGGTCTTCAGGTGATCCTGTGCTCTTTCAAAATGGGGTCCACAACCAACTGGCATTAATAATTGTACTTATATATCAAATAAACAGTGGTATGTTCAGTCATGTGATGTCTCCTTGTCCTTCATCTGCGATAACAGTGAGTAAAACAACTCTACAGTAACAAACATTAATTTACTGTAGTAAAGATAATTCAAATGGGAATTTAATTGTGAATCTACATTAGTATAATACATGCATACATATTATATTAAAAATGTACAGTTAACTGTTACCTTTATTTTAAATATAAAATTTTAGTAATATTCATAAACATAACAAACTGACAACTTTTCTGTAACAGGCAATTTTGTCACAAACTTTATAGAAATGTAAGAATAATGATAACTTGATTTAGTAATATTTACTATTTGTTTTTAACAAAGCAAGCAAAGGCCTGGTGATTGGCAATCAGAACATGAACTGGAGAGCCGCTCAGAGTTACTGCAGACAAAATTACAATGATCTGGTCAGTGTGAGGAACCAGAATGAGAGTCAACAGCTGGAGAAGTTCATTGAAGACAGAGGTTTATCTGGAGCTCCAGTCTGGATCGGTCTGTTCAGACAAATGTGGCAGTGGTCAGATCAGAGCAACTCCTTATTCAGATACTGGAAACCTGGTGAACCAAATAATGTTGGAGGAAATGAAAACTGTACAGCATTTGAACCGAACACTCAGGGAAGATGGATAGACATCTCTTGTGATCGTCAGTATCCTTTTGTGTGTCATGAAGGTGAGCAGATCCTCCAAACACACTCAATCCTTCATCAGCTCCAGATCTCTTAAAGTTGACTCTACATGTCTGACATGACAAATTCCTCCACAGTGTTTGTTCTGCATGTTGTTGTTGATCAGTCTCTCTCTAGTTTCTGCTTTGTTTTGTGTCCAGATAAACTGATTGTGGTCCAGCAGAATCTGTCGTGGTCTGCAGCTCTGAGATACTGCAGACAGCATCATGTGGATCTGGTCTCGGTTCAGTCAGTGGAGATGCAGCGTCGTGTGATGAACGTGGTTAAACTGGCGTCTACTGAGGCGGTGTGGTTGGGTTTACGTCACTCCTGTGCTTTGGGCATCTGGTTCTGGGTGAGTGGACAGACCGTGTGCTATCAGAACTGGGCTCGAGGAATCGGAACATCAGAAGAGGTTTGTGAGCCCACAGTGAGATCTGGAGCAGTTCAGTCTGGACAAGGTCAGTTCTGGATCAGCCGTCCTGAAACTGACCAACTTAACTTCATCTGCACTAATTACTAGGATTGAAAGACCTTAGGATGTTTCTGTTTAAAAGTATGAATGTTACAGTTTTACTGCTTCAAATACATATTTTAAGACATCTGAATTAGACTTTTATTGATACACGTAACAGGGCGATGTGAGGGTGCAGTGGGTAGCACTCTCGCCTCACAGCAAGAAGGTTGGTGGTTTGAGCCTTGGCTGGGTCAGTTGGCGTTTCTGTGTGGAGTTTGCATGTTTTCCCCACATTCGCATGGGTTTCCTCCAGGTGACCCGGTTTCCCCCACAAGTCCAAAGACATGCGGTACAGGTGAATTGGGTAAGCTTAATTGTCCGTAGTGGATGTGTGTGAACGAAAATGTGTGTTTTCCAGTGATGGGTTGCTGCTGGAAGGGCATCTGCTGCGTAAAACATGCTGAACGCGTTAACGGTTTTATTCCATTGTAGCGACCCCTGATTAATAAAGGGACTCAGCCGAAAAAAAAAAAAATGAATGAATGATAAAAGTAACAATGTAACTTTTTATCTTTTAAAAATATTATATGACATCTATATGATATCATGAAATACAAATTAATTTGAGTATTAGCCTTCACCCTTTAATAGGCATCATAACCACCTGATTGACCCTTTATCCATAGGTTATCATTTTTTTTTTTTTATTTAGTGTATGCCTTTTTGGACGCTTCTGGAAAGAGTTTTTTATTATTTCATTAAAATTTATTGACCAATTTTATATCTGACTTCATGCGTGTTTTAATCTGACTCCAATTCTATTCTATAAATCATCATTTACGTTTTAAGCTGATCATATTATTGGTTGTGATTTAATTTGGAATTTGATATTTTCTGAGGTCCGATATTCTATATTGTACATTCATTAGGGACCTACATCGCTCAGAGTTCCACGCCCCGGGTTTGCGTTTCTTCTCACGGACAATATGTCGGCACTCTGAAAATAGTCAAGAGGATGCAGGATTAACTAATATTTAGATAGGCTGGTTGCATTAACGCTCACCTAATTTCCTAAATAAACAGATTTTAGCCAAGCCCGTGCAACTTGCTACTCAAAGTGGGCGAATGACTAAAAGGTCTACATGTTATCGGCACGCTATGGCTACGAATAATCAAGTTCAATTCAATCAGTTCAATTATGCCATACGATAAAGGTAACGAGACTCCACATAATCTACTGGATACAATGAATTCGCAAAACTCCAGAATCAATCAAAAAAGAGTTAAGATTTATTTTGCTAGGCAGGTAAAAACAATACTTAGAATGAATCAAAATTTAATACAAAACACAACTGATCAGCATAACATATAAACGTAGATAAATGCAAATACAAAGTTAAAAAATAAATTCATAAAGTCAGCATACCTGGCAAATAGGAGAGACACACAGAGACTGTGTGGGAAGTCTGGCTACAGAAACTTCCCCAAGTATTTTGCCAAGATTCTTTAAGTACCCATTAACATCTGTGAAACAGTCATGAATATTTAGCACCCAAATATCTGACTCTGTTTTTAGAGTTAATTAACTTCAAAGGGTTTAACATTGGTTTGAAGTGACAAAGTTTATCAACAAATCTTTATTATGGATTGTCATCCTTAGGAGAGAAAAAAAAACAGTTCACCAGTTTATCTTAAGATATCTATGAACATCTGTGAAGTAATCATGACTATCTATTCCTAAAAACTCTGTCTCTGTTCTCAGAGTTAATTAACTTCAAAGGGTTACCCAATGTTTTGGGGTGAAATGAAGAGAAAAAACAGTTCACCAGTTTACCAGTCACACCTGAATGATTAGACTTAAAAAACAACACCAGTAAGGGAGAGGGATGTGGGTGAAAGGAATGTTCTGGTTGTATTCTCCAGTCCCCTCTTCCAGATTCCGGAGTCTTTATGGTTTTATTGCAAGGGATAGTTGTTTGGGTAAAATCCAGTCTTACATGGGCCAAAAAAGGTTTTTCAGGAAGTGCACCTTAAAGGGTTAAAGGTGACATCAGATGCACATTTAAAGGGCACCTATGGTGAAAAATCTACTTTTCAAGCTATTTGGACAAATATATGTGTATATATAGTGTATGGACCATCATATTGGGGTGATATAAACACACACAGTCCTTTTTTTTTTCAATTTAACAACATAAAAACAGTGGACCAATTAGAGCGGTTTTCAGACCGACTGCAACTTTACATAGGAGTGTGGTCCCCCCGCCCACTGAATTGATTGACAGCAGCGCGCATTAACATGTTCGGGTAGTAACGTGTATATGTCAACAAGACCAGACATACGCAAAGCAACCGGGAATAAAAGGTCTGTTGTGTTCGCTAGGATCAGCAATCATCATCAACTGTGATTAAGTTTCACATGTTTAAAGTGTTTTAAAACAGTGCACGTGTTTAATTAATTACAGCGATTTTACTTCAGCTTTACTTCATCAGCACAGCCGCATGTCAGAACAATTATAAAAGAAGACGCGTCAATCCCGCTTTGTGGAAGTTAAATCAGGTTTATTTTGTACATTAGCATAACAGATATCCACACAGTACTGGAGGTTAGCCTGTATCCTGTCTCATTTGAGGGCAAAAAATAGTGCTAAGTGCGCTCTGTCTGTCAGCCTGCCTGTGTGTGTGTCAGCTGCGGTGTGCGTGTGCATCTGTGTGTGTTTGTGTGCGTGCGAACTTTGTAACGATATTGTGTTTGACTCATCAATGCAACTTCACAATACTGATTAGTAAAGGTTAATTCTTACTGTAGTATTTCTCACAAACGCTACGTAAGACCTTCTTTCTTTAAGTCTGTCTGTTGTCTGACGCAGCCGAGGGAGGAGATCAAAGCACGCGGGAAGGCACATAGAAACAGTAGGCGGGAAAGACTCGTCTTAAAAGCACAGTACGACAAAACCACCCCCTGCTGGAAATCAGTATAAAACAGCATCTTGTAAAAGGTATAATGAAAAATCTGATGGGTGTTTTGAGCTAAAAGTTTATATACACATTCTAGAGACGCAAAAGACTTATATTAAATCTAAAAAAAGGGGTAACCTAGGTGCCCTTTAATGGTAGTGTAAAAACAAATAATTTTTACCCTGTCAAAAACACTTCGTTTCACATTATATACAGTACATTTTTAAATGGTAATAAGCTACTACGCTACTACGTGTGAAGGGGACACTACACTGTCAGTGGGCGCTGTCTTTCAGATGAGACGTTAAACCGAGGTCCTGACTCTCTGTGGTCATTAAAAATCCCATGGCACTTCTCGTGAAAGAGCAGGGGTGTAACCCCGGTGTCCTGGCCAAAGTCCCTCTATCGGCCCTTACGATCATGGCCTCCCAATCATCCCCTTCCACCGAATTGGCTCTATCACTGTCTCTCCTCTCCACAAATAGCTGGTGTGTGGTGAGCGCACTGGCGCCGTTGTCCTGTGGCTGCCGTCACATCATCCAAGTGGATGCTGCACACTGGTGGTGGTGTGGAGAGACCCCCCCTCATGATTGTTAAGCGCTTTGGTTGTATGGCCATACACAATAAATGCGCTATATAAATACACATTACATTACATTACTTCTCCCCTACCCTATTCTGAGGCTGTATCAGGGTTAAAAATCCATTCCATTCTTAATGAGCAGCTAAACCAGCGCAGCAGACACACAGAGCTCAACCATACACAGCACTTCTGCAAAAAATGTTTCTGTACAGGGCATCTGCAAAGTATATTCACTTTTTCCACATTTTTTAAATGTTACAGCCTTATTCCAAAATAGGTTAAATTAATTTATTTCTTCAAAATTCTACACACAATCCCTCATAATGACAAAGAGAAAAAAGAGTTTTTGAAATTGTTGCAAATTTCTTCAAAATAAAAAAAAGCTGAAAAATCACATGTACATCAGTATTCAGAGCCTTTGGCGTAAAGCTCTAAATTGAGCTCAGGTACATTCTGTTTTCACTGATCATTCTTAAGATGCTTTAGCAGCTTTATTGGAGTTCACCTGTGGTCAATTCAGTTGATTGGACATGAAAAGGCATACACCTGTCTATATAAGGTCCCAGGGTTGACAGTGCATGTCAAAGCACAAACCAAGCATGAAGGCAAAGGAATTGTCTGTAGATCTCTGAGGTAGGATTGGCTCGCGGCACAGGGCTGGGGAAGGTTATAGAAACATGTTTGCTGCTCTGAAAGTTCCAATGGGCACAGCGGCCTCCATCATCCGTAAGTGGAAAATGTTTAACCACCAGGACTCTTCCTAGAGCTGGCCGGCCATCTAAGCTGAGTGATTGGGGGAGAAGGGCCTTAGTCAGGGAGTGGATCAATAACCCGATGGTCACTCTGTCTGAGCTCCAGCGTTCTTCTGTAGAGAGAGGAGAACCTTACAGAAGGATAACAATCTGTGCAGCAATCCACCAATCAGGCCTGTATGGTAGAGTGGCCAGACGGAAGACACTCCCCGCCTGCAATTTGCCAAAAGGCATCTGAAGGACTCTCAGACCATAAGAAACTAAATTCACTGGTCTGATGAGACTAAATTTGAACCATTGTAGTGAACGCCAGGCGTTATGTTTGGAGAAATCCAGGCACTGCTCATCACCAGGCTAAAACCATCCCTACAGTGAAGCATGGTGGTGTTGGCATCATGCTGTGGGGATGTTCTTCAGCAGCAGGAACTGAAAGACTAGGATAGAGGGAAAGATGAATGCAGCAATGTACATTGACATCCTGAATGAAAAACTGCTCTGACCTCAGACTGGGGTAACAGTTCAACTTCCAGCAGGACAATGACCCAAAGCGCACCGCCAAAATATCAATGGAGTGGCTTCACAACAACTTGGTGAATGTCCTTGAGTGGCCCAGCCAGAGCCCAGACCTAAATCCTATTGAACATCTCGGGAGAGATCTGAAAATAGTTGTACACCACTGCTTCCCATTTAACCTGATAGAGCTTGAGAGGTACTGCTAAGAGGAATCGGCAAAAATTCCCCAAAGACAGGTATGCCAAGCTTGTGCCATCATATTCAAAAAGACTCAAGGCTGTAATATCTGCCAAGGTGCATCAACAAAGTATTGAGCAAAGGCTGTGAACACTAATGTACATGTGACTTTTCAGCTTTTTTTTTACTTTGAATAAATTTAGAACAATTTCAAAAACAGTTTTTTCACATTGTCATTATGGGGGGTTGTGT